CTGTAAATAAAAAAAATAAAAGAAGAAGTTTGACACCATAAGCGTAAGACTAATATCTTCATCATTAATTGTTGACCAGTTTGATTGGTCTGCATGGCCTGATGAGCATTTTGCTTTCTCTCTTCTTTCACCGGAATAAAGGAAAAAGCTAATAAACTAATCAAAACAGGATGTCAATGATAAAACGTATCTTGCTAAAAACTCTTAATTTATCACGCTGATTAAATGTTAAGTGTGCGATAGGCCGTGTTAGCATTAATAGACTTTATAAATAATTACAAACTCCACCTCAAAATCCTATAAAATTCAATTGAATTACATAATAAAGCAAAAGAAAATTCATTGGTTACCACTACACACACACACACACACACAAGTGTCGAAGGACATCACACTTAAGTGGTGTATTGTCCTAATTTCTTGCACTTTAGAATTGGTGGAGCGTAAAAAAAGTGAATAGATCAGAGGGGGTGTAAAAGCAACAGTAAGTGTGACGGATGTGTAACCGAGATTGGGCGGAACGGGACTGACTGTAGTCAAGGGGAGTCTCCCTGAAGTCACAATACCACCGGTGGTCCCCTGGGATGGTAGACACGGGAATCCGAACAATGATATTATTTGTTCGTATCGACGGTGTGTCTCCAACGCGATCTGAAAAAACGTAGCATTGTAAAGGCAGTTTTAGGTAATAATTGCAGCCGGACATGTGTTGATCGCGGTACGTACGGGTGACGTGGAGCGCCCTAGCGCGTGTCGCATTTCGTTTATGAGTGTCTACTAGACAAGCCGTTTCAATCCAAACCTTTGACATATTAAAGGAAAACCCGACCGTACGTATTGTGCCGTATTGTGGCCTCGGAGCGACGTTCCTTTGACACCGCGACAAGACTCAAACAAGATTAGGCAGTTTTACTGCCTGCCGAAAGTCTAAAAAGGCAGTTCCAATTTTTTTTAGGAAGTATCTGCCTTTTATATGCCAATTGCGCTGGAGACGTGTAGTGACATTTATTTTTTTTATTTTCTTCTTCAAACTGTGGTATTCGCATTCTGATTATAGAAGTAGTAATTAACAACTGGTCAAACTAACCAGACGTACCGGACTACTCGTAAAACGAAAGAGAGAAGAAAGTGGCCTTATTTCCTTTTTCGATTATTTGATTAGTTTTGTCCTACAGTTACTATTTTGCATAGAACGATTTTTGAGAATTAAATAGTGCGACTAATTTACAATTCACACGCTATCCGGCACAATCGTAATTATCTGAAATATTTATTAATGTTTGAGGTGGAGTTTTAGGATATTTTAAGTTAACTTAATGTATTATTTCGTTTTCTTTTAACAGTTTATGATAAAAGTATGTTGCGTTCACTTCTTCCTAATAAACACAGTAATATTGGAGTCTGATCGCCGAACTACTTACCTATACTCGAGATTGCGACAATTCAGACGAATTACTTCTCCTATATTCTATGTTGGAGGACGACTGTAAATGGTGTTGTCTGTAGTGAAGTAGTTCGGTCAGACTCCAATATTCTGGTGTTTTATTAGAAAGAAGTACAACTTACTTTTA